AAAAAAAAAAAAAAAAAAAAAAAAAAAAAAAAAAAAAAAAAAAAAAAAAAAAATGAAAAAAACGTTTTTCAAATGTTGCAGTTGAGGGCTGCGCGGGAATGGACGAGTCGTGGTACGTGACGCCACCGGCTTGCTTCACCCGGCCCGGACCGGTTCACGTGGAAACGTCGCCCCTGGAGAACCTCCTGATCGAGCACCCGAGCATGTCCGTGTACGCGGGCGCCTCCCTGAGCGGCAGCACCACGGCCAGCGCGAGCCTCATCAGCAGCAGCGACGCCGCCCTCGTCGACCTGGACGAGGACGGCAACGCCGCCGTGGCCGCCAGCCCGACTCGCGAGGTGCCCGACCGCAACAAGCCGCGCCCCTTCCCCAAGAGATTACCGGCAAAGTCCTCCCCCGGCGCGGCCCAGAGCAACGACCGCCGCGCCAAACGCTGTCCACCCCGAGCCACCTCGTCGTCCATGATGTCCTGGACGACCGTCGACGCGACCAGCCTCGAGGTCACCGCGACGCCAACGACCACGACCAGGCAGAAGCGCCAGAAGCCGGCCGAGCTCAGGCACCGCAACAAGAACACCAAACTCCGGATTCCCGGGAAGCTGGAGGAGATGCAGATCAGCGAAGAGCCGGTGGTTGCCACCAACGAGTCCAAGGCGATGACGAGCGAGTTGACGCCGGTTGAGCCATGCAAGAAGCTCGAGGTCCCGAGGCAAAAGGTCCTGGACGACCAACACCGGAACATCCTCAGGTGGTGGCACATGAGGCCGCAGACCATCAAGCCGGCCCTGGCTCCGCTGGTGCCACCGGCGCCCTGCTGTGCCGGCCAGTGCGTTGTTCTCAAGGGCCAGGCTGGCGGCAGCAGGGGTGGTGGTAAGAGTGGCCAGCAGAGGCGACAGAACCTCGAGAACCAGGAGAACAGGCAGCCTGCACGGCCGAGGCTGCAGCAACGACAACAACAACAGCAGCAGCAGCCAAACAGCAGCGTGGCCGAGCGCACGAGGCGGACGAGTATGAGGGACATGAGGAACACGTCTGCCGAAGAGGACGCTTGCGTCTCTCAGATCCACTCGGCTCAGCAGGTAAGTTTGCTCCCGGTTGGTAACTACCGCGGCTTTACCACCTTAAAACTGGCTCAGTTGCTGAGAAAAAGAAAAAAAAAAAAAAAAAAAAATGGTGCTAAACGAGGGTGTTTTTTGTTGGGTCGTGCAGGTGCTGCAGAAACGTAGTACGCAGACGGCCAAGCGCAACCGGCTCGATCGTGCTAACAAGGTTAGGGAGGTGGCGAGCGGCAAGTCGCGGCGCCCGCGTCGCCAGGATCGTCTGCGGCTTAACAACAGCAACGCCAACAACAACCGCAAATGCTAGTCCCTTCAGATCTCAAGGCCAGGGTGCACGTTCCGATGAGAACACGAGAGAGAAAGAGAGTTTATTAATTAATGGGCCGACACACGTATGCTCATATACATATACGATGATTTATTATGATGATGATGATGATGATGATGTGTATTTGAGAGAGGATCTATAATAGGTATAATTATATCAGTTGATTATTATTATTCTCAATATTATTTTATCTGGATAAAAAAAAGGTCGTTACAATATCACGAAGCTATGCGAGGAGTGTTTTGAATATTATTACCTATATGCAAACAAAAATAGAATTAGGCGCGAGCGCCTGAACTTTTTGCCGGATCGAACTGAAATTTCGAAACAAAAATATCGCGGTGCGTTTTTATGTTTCCGTTGGTGAGGCAAAGGCAACGCTTTGCTTATTGCAGAAAATTTGTGTTTCGATTACATGTGTATACAAACGCACGCGATTCGTTCCATGTGTAAACTGACTACTTTCTAATCGTTTCGAATGCATCTTTCGAAACGTTGCGTTGCACGTGCTCGGCAACGTTTGCAATTAGTTCGGTTCGATAAGAGCATAACGGAGCGAACGCGAAAATGAAAAATTGAACGAAGCGACGGAAACGAGCTCGGGGAGTCGAATGCCTTCTTCCTCGGATATAGTTGTTGCACATTATTTGAGTATTTTTCGGAGGGAAGGCAGCGACTCTCGCACTCGACGCAACTGATTATTATTTATTCTTTTTTTTTTTTTTTTTNGCGAAACAAATCACCCCGACACTTGTGTATACGTATACCCATTACCATCGAACGAAACAAGCTATTACAATTTTCTCAGGCTATTTATTATCGTTCTATTATATTGATTAGTGCACGTATTTTCAACTGAATTCTTAGTGATGTATAAAAATGGTTTCTTTATCACAACTTTCTTTCTTATACTGATAAACTTGTATATATATATTTGTGTGCTTTTGAAAAACTTTTCTTTCTCAATTTCAATTAATTTTAATGCATATTTATTTACGAAAGGCTTGCAACTTGACATGCAAAAACGATTAATAGGTGTTTACGTGTGCATCGGGGCATTGTGGATATAAAATAGAATTTTATTACACACACTCGTACCCATGTATTATAGGTGCAGTAATTATCAATGCATGACTAGTTTTTAGCGTTAAAAACAAAAAAAAAAAAAAAAAAAAAAAAAAACTCAACCTAATGGTTTTTTATTTTCTTTTCAAAGGGTACCTCTGTTTTTTGTGTTTTTTTTTTTTTTTTTTGTAACCACAGTTTGTGAAACTGAGTGAATAAAAAATAAATAAAAAAAATAAATAAATAGATAACAAATTAAAACAGAGAGTAAGAAATTTTTCGGGTGAAAAACGACGTGTTTATCATGTAAAACAGAGAAATCGTTATGATTCCGTTTGATTTACCAACAAAATCAAATAACGTCTAGGAGAAAATGAAATTTCTATAGTTTGAAAATGACACAATCATGTGTTCGGTAATTAAATTATTAATCAATCCGCACGAGTAGAGCTTCCGAAAAAGTGACACAGATCTACCAACCAAAATAAATAGACTTTAAGATTCACGTTCTCTGTAAAAACTAAGTTCGAAGGTGGTAAACAGAGCAATATATCACGGTGTTTTTTCTTTTCTTTCTGACAATCAGAAAAACCCGTAATACACAACTTATGGATAATAAATATGGAATTTGGCGCCGTGAAAAAAAAAAGTCTGACTTCCGCTATCTAATAATAAAATCTAGATGACGAAAGATTTTCGGTTTTCGCGCCAATTTTTACGGATGATAAAAATAATAATAGCTGTAAGTTGGGGAAAAAAACAAAAAACAAAAAAAAAAAACAAATAACAAAACTAGTGCAATTATAAATTTGAAAGCAACCGATAATTGCGGGCCTTTCAACTCGGAAGCCTTGGCTCACAAAACTCGACTAAACGTAATAATACCTAATAAACGTTCTCACGGCTGTACCATTAAAAAATCTTTGCAATAATAAATAAACAGACGAGGATGACGAATGAAAAAAAAAATTCCGTCACGTCCTCGGCGGCATTTGCTTTGCGTTGGCGCACAATATGTGCAGAAAAGCGAAAAATCCATCTCGACGCGTCGAGGAAATAACGAGCCGGCAATTTGATTAGCCAGACAGCGAGGCGGTCGCGCTGTTGAGCTAATGCATAAAGTATGAATTTTTTTTCTATCCAGTAGATGGATGTATAAAAAGAAATGGAAATTTTTAACAAAACTCGAACGAAAAGGAATTCACTATTTGACGAACGTCTCGAGAAGAAATACGAATGTATAATATTCACGTAAACTGTGATAAATTTTTATGGATCGCGGTTTGAGCAACAAAAAAAAACACGGTATTCTTATGCTAATATATATCGGTTTGTCGTAAAAATTGGAGATTCAAATGCGTCGAATCAACGAAAATGAATGAATAATTGTCAGAGTATTTCTAAGTCGGTCAAACAACTTGCATTGTATGTAACAAAAGTATACATAACGTACACGCGTGTCTCGGCGGATGAACACGTGCCTCTTTGTATGTATCCGACGTTGCGATTCTCCGCTATCGCATATATGATTTTTCCGAGTCGTATCTGCCGTTATGTCCGAGAGAGGATTTTTTCTTTCGTCTTATCGACCCTGATTTTTTTTTTCTCCTAGTAATAATAGTTGGAAAAAAAATATATTCTTGATTCATAATTAATTATTGTCGTTAGTGATGTAATAATTAACGTTTATGTGCTTAATTTGCATACGGTTTAATGGAAGTACAGCATAATAATACAAATAACTTTAACTTTGAGTCTTGGTTTCGAGAACATTTCGAGGATAATGGAAATTAAAATATGGAATGAAATAAAACAAACAATAAAAAAATTAATACAATTGTGGCTTGTGCAACAAACCGAAATGAATGATGAAATAATTGAAAGATTTAGGTAAAACTGAACTCTAAGTGAAACCTACGATTCTTTCATTCGGATGTAAAAATTGTTAAGCTTTTAATTTCATTTTATTCAATTTTTTTTTTTTATTTATTGAATAAAACAGTTTTCTTCTCCTATAGCAAGAAATAAAAATCGAATTCTCTTTTTGTCTTCATTAGTATAAGTAAGCAGAAATGCTTCAATTTCGGTTCTTTTTAATTACCATATTTATCAATACTTTTTAAAATTCTAAATTTAAAAGCCGTAGTCAATTTTCAGAGGAAAATTTACAACGCAATAAAAAAAACTTTTCCACCACACTAAATAAAACGATAAGCTCGACGTTCATCATTAAAAACCTGATAAGCAATATCTTTTTCAGGGTACATACCTATAAAAAAATCACAAAAAGCCTCTACGCAAAAAAAAATCACCGTGAAAACCACTTTTCGGGGCTCTACTCATGTGGCGGAAAAAAAAAATTATAAGTAAATTATAAAATGCGTGTGCACGCCTATAAATGCGGCTCCACCTAACGACATCATCTTACTTGCGTCCCTACTTTTGTCTTTGTGCTAATCGCATCATATATAGATATCCTATCGATATAGATATGAAATAAAAATATTTAAACATTTACGTAGAGTATTTGTAAGGCCGAAAGTAAGATTTAAACACAAAAAAAAATAAAAAATAAAATTTGAAAAGAATTCAAATCGTCGTTCATGTGGCTTTCAACGTTTTTAATTTCCTGATCGCGTGTTTCATTCAAATATGCGGCTTTTAACGGACAGGCATTGATTAAAAATTGAATGGTGGGACACTGGAATATCAGTGTTAATCGAATGTACACTTTACACCCTTCATTGTGTCACTCGAACGGCTGTCGAAACATTTATTTCACGTTTCAGTTTCCACTTGTATTCATGAAGCTTGCATTCCTTTTTAACGTGTTCACCGTTTAAAAGTTCATTTCTAAGTTACTCTAACTTCAATATATTTTACGTCTTATCCGCTTGTTTTCTCCAATTAATGAAATTAACCCGAGTCAAAAGAAAATATCTTGTAAAAATATTTTCGAACAAAACAATGTTAATAATATTCNGAATTTTATTACACACACTCGTACCCATGTATTATAGGTGCAGTAATTATCAATGCATGACTAGTTTTTAGCGTTAAAAACAAAAAAAAAAAAAAAAAAAAAAAACTCAACCTAATGGTCTACTATACTCATTACGAAGGGCATCACCACAAATCTCGATGAAAAAAGCATTGTGATCAAATTCGATTCGTATATATTTGAAGCTAATGAAATAAATACGTATTCGGTATATATGTATAGTATAATGTTTGCGTAGCTAATGATTATAAACATAAAATATTATAGGCGTACGCATCATTTGGACCGTATGCTACTGTGTAAGCGCTAACATTACAATTGTAATTTTAAGAAGTACGAGTTAGAATCCTACGTAACAATTTCTTATTAAGCAAAAAATTCAGTTTAGAGAAAATAAATTTTGTAAATTATGAGGATGAAGGGGGCGAGAAACAAATTGGTTTTCTTAAACGTTCGAACTTGCTGTCGGCTAAAAGTGTTCATTATTTTTTGTCCATAGGGGGTCAAAATCTTTGTTAGAAGATCGACAGCATGCGAAAGTAACTTTGAATATTTGATGCAATTTTTAATTAATTATAAGGTAATGAAAGCATGTGATTAAAAGCATGTGATTATTAGGTACGTTCTTGTACAGAAAAATCAATCTTTTCTCGCCTTTTTCTTTAATTTTTTTTGTAGTCTAAAAAAAACCATATTTTTAGTCGAAAGTGATTCTAATATTGTCTCATCTTTTTGTTTCTATATAAAAATATTTATTTGAATAAAAATGAGCTGATAAAATTATTACTACAATAGGTATTAAAAAATCTTAAGTTACATGTAAAGTTACAGTTATTTACGTATTAAATAAAAACCTGGTTCGAAAAGTGTATTTTTAATGTAACTGTAAATAACAACATTAACTTTAGATTCTGCAATCACGTACGAGAGGCTTGTCAAAATTTTTATTCATCGCTCGGGCAGTAGTGCGCGTGAATATAGATATTGTGAAAATACACATTATTGTAGAGAATGGGCCTGCTCAAATTATAATTAAATGTACAAAGGACTCAATTTTGTGTAGAATGCAATGGGTCGTAAGGAAAATCAACAAAAAAAAAAAAAAAATTAAATGAATAAATAAGAAATAGAAAGTAAGATATGTGTAATCAAGTGAATTTAGTTATGTAATAGCAAAGAAAATATTTGTAAACCGCAGATATATCTATGCGAGACCAGTAGCAAAATGTACCTTTTTATTAGCTTGTACGTGTATGTCTAACAGAAACAAGAATTATAGAAACTAAGATCCTCTCGAGAAGAAAATTTCTAAGCTACACAATAACAATAATAATAATAACTACCCTAAGAATACAATATCGGTACTAGTTTCCCTTTTACAAGTGAAATCAATTGTTTTTTTTTTTTTTTCTTTTTCTTGACAACCTTGCGACACCCAGAGTATTTGGATACCCGACAACTTTAACAAAAGTCAATTGTCGGACATCCAAATGGAAAAAAAAAAAAAAAAATACAAGTGTTTCTCGGAACGGAGGCAATTTCTTTATCCTAAATATCACCTGCAAGCACGCAAAATAGTAATGAAACTTGTCCGCCGATTTGTGTGATTACAGAAGGGGATCAGAAGAAAGAAAGGAAGGAAGGAAAGAAGGAAGACAGCAGAGCCGGCGTCGCGCACTTGGTTGCACACATAATATACATACCGATAGTACGGGCCATTGGGTGTCCAAGATAAACGAGGGACAATAAGCGCGAGAATAGCCAGGAAAGATGTTCGGCAGGTTGGCGAGTTACTTGATGGGAGGCGCGGCCGAGGTCGAGGTCGAGGGCGAGACCGTGCCCGCGCCCCTTGGGGCCGAAGCGCCGGTCGCGGACACGGTCGCCGACGAGACCAACGCCCCTGCCGCGCAGGACCTGCCGAAACTCAGGCAAACCGAGGTCGAGGGCGAAGACTGGATCCTCATAGAACGCTATGGTATAAACATACCTCTTTTTCTTTATACATGAATTCGGCTGTTTGAAAGGTCCCAAAAATGGCACTTTCTTCCCAAGACAAGAAAAAAAAAAAAAAAAAAAAAAAAAAACATTTGAAGCGTTACTTTCTCTGCCAAGCATTCACGAGAGAGGCACTAACTTCAATTTAAGCTCATCTGAGAATCGTATTAACACACACGTATCGTACATCCCATTCGTGCGTCACGTGCGTACGCGCGGGCAGCGTATACGTCACGAAAAAAAAAAATAAAAATAAAAGAAAAATTGGCTCTCCTTCTCTCCGGACATCGAGTGTATTGCGCGTACACGCGCGCCTTGTCTAGTATTTTTTTCTTTTATTTTTATTTTTTTTTTTCGTGACGTATACGCTGCCCGCGCGTACGCACGTGACGCACGAATGGGATGTACGATACGTGTGTGTTAATACGATTCTCAGATGAGCTTAAATTGAAGTTAGTGCCTCTCTCGTGAATGCTTGGCAGAGAAAGTAACGCTTCAAATGTTTTTTTTATTTTTTTTTTTTTTTTGCCTTATTACATTTGTTTTCTCTTTCCTCCCCTGTGGACCCCTGACTCGCTTTTTCCACACCGAGCTCCCTTTTTAGCGTCTCTCTCATCATTTAATACTATACATCCATGCGCTACAGATGAAAACTCCTGGGGGCGATCCAGCCCAGGTCACGACGACTGCGACGACGGTGAAGGAGAAGAAGAAGATGGCGAAGCACGGCCGCGGGCTAATATTGAATTTTAAGAAAGTCGGCTCTACACCCCCGCCCCCAAACACTAGCAGTAGGAGGGATGGGAGGGTGGCCCCCACAGTATCAACCTATACCGTGCAACCGAGATAATAAAAATATGGACGTATAATTTGACGGCAAGGTCTAGAGGTCCAAGCGAGGGGTGAGGCTAAGGGTAGTTCATGAAATGAGCGCTGATAATGCCCCCTGTAGTTNTTTTTTTTTTTTTTTTTTTTTTTTTTTTTTTTTTTTTTTTTTTTTTTTTTAATCATACATAAAAATGAACGAAACTTATAAAACATTCTTTTTATTTTCAAGTGACACGTGCGAAAATGTACAGTGTATTTCTAAACTGATTTGTAAACTTATATATATTTTTTTCTCTAACGTAAAAACACTTTAAAGAAAAAAAAGTGATGAATAAAAAAAGCTATTTTTATACTGTGTAAAAAAACTCAAAAATACAATAACGCTTGTTAAATACTGTTACAAAAATCACTCGGCAAAAACAAAGCAACATTAATGACATTGCATGAATAAAAATGCGTAATTGATCGTTGCTTAAAAAAATTAAAATCATCAACGTAACGAGTCTCTCGATTGCATATGAGCTTATACTACAGTTAGTACACCATCATATGTTTTATAAAATAATAATAAAAATTAACTGTATCATGTTTAATTTTTTTCGTTCATGCAACAACAACGTCGCTACGAAATCTTTTATTTCGTACTACTTTTCCTCGCATTAAAAACAGAATCTTATTTGTTTTAGTTATATGTTGCTGCTTTTGTGATGGTGTAAGTCTTGTAACACAAAATTACGTATTTTTAATTTTTTCTATTGAATTTTGCGTTGCAATGTTTTAGTCCCCATGCAAAGCTCCAATACCACACAAACGTGAAGGAACATTCTTTTAAACTACTTTCTTTACACTGTTTTCTCCGTTGTTTTGTTCAATACAATTTTTATATTTTATGTAAGAATTTATTTGTTCATTGAAATTTAGTTAATATTTTTAGACGAGTTCAAGCCACTATTGCTTAATACCACATTCAATTTTGTTTTTTAATAGTTAAAAACTCATAAAACAATACCGATTTAATAAAAAATCATTACCTAAATTTCAATGAAACTACACTTTATATTTTGCCATACGATATCTTTATTAATTAGTTATTTATGACGTTATCAGAATTTCACATGTAAGTTTCTGTTGAGAAGGCTAACGCCATTTACATCTTGTGAAGTATTAAATAATAAATATAATTGATAATAAAAATAAATTAATTAGAATAGTAATTTAGACATTTTGTTTGTCACAAAAATTAAAATTATACTTTTCTACATTTAAATTAGAATTGTTTTCCTTTCTTTTCCCTATACAAATAGTGCAAAGAGTACCAAAGTACAAACGCTTTTTTTCACACCGATTTATAAGTAGGTTTTGAAAGCAAACCTTTAAATATTTTTTAAATCTGTCAGCTAATATATAATACGCATTATAAATGCAAAACATTTTTCAATTTACTTTTTACGACTTCACGGTATTATGCTTTACAGTTATAAACAATTGGAAGTCGTAAACTGCTTGACTAGCGTCGTATTTTTGTTTTTGTTACTGTTGGACATACTTATTTTGCAATAACAATGAGCCTGATATTTGCAGTCGATACTCAATCACAGATGAGCAAAAGCAAACGTGGAACTTTGGACTTGTTTTATTCCAACAGAAGACTTTTCGTTAGAAAAAGATAACTGAGTATAAATTTTATATTTATTCATCTTCCATTGAGTTTAATTAGTATTAGGCTTTTAAATTGATAAGCCTAACTCTGAAAGTAGTTTTCTTGTGTACAGAAACACTCATAAGTTCCGTTGAGATTGTTTTTCCCACGAGTTTCAATTTTAAAAATAACGAAAAACATTTTACTTACATCCCTCAACAAACTATGAAATTTTTGGCAATGTAGAAAAATATTAGGTTTATCACTTTTCAACTTTATTCTAACTATGCACGTCATTATTGATAAATTACTGTTCAATTAATTTTACTACCTATAATTCTATGAAAATTATCTGAAAGGAAATTTTGTATACTTCAACAATTACAATTTTTCGATGAATTTTGCAATTAATATTTTAAATCTCGTTGAAAACTTTGATTTGAAGTGTAAAACTTATAAGGGTACTGTACATTCTAAAATAACATTGTCACCCGTTTTCAAATCCTAACTACAGATACTTTTGTATAATCAAATGCAAGAATAGCGAGTTTTCCTATAAACATTTTCTTTTTTCATTTTCTTTTACATACCAATCATAGAGTGCCGTGTCTCCATTTTTATCCTCCTCCTTTCCCCTATTTTTAAGACGTAGCTGAGCACATCTTAATCCACGGATTCGAGGGTTCGGTTGTTTTAGGAATGTATGAATCAATCCTCCAGCGAAATTACTGTTCCAGCCAAGAGGACAGTGACGAGTTTGGGGACTTGACTTTTATGTTGAATTGCTTCAAAGTTGCTTCTAATGCAGTTTGATTGCCAGAAAAGTAAGCTGATACAGCATTATGGAAGAGCAGCAGTTGCTTATGCATCACTTTGATCTGTAATTAAACATAAATATGAGAATTCAAGAATACAAAAATGCAACACTCAACATTTATCTTAAAACTTACCCTGTTTTCATCAAGAAACTTTAATTTTATTGACACATCTGAGCGTAATTTTTCAAAGTTTTGCTTGTGTAACTCATAATTTTGTTGCGCATCCTCCATTCTCCCATCATTGGTTCCATCAGACTTGGCATCCTGAGCTAAAATTTCCAAGTCTGTTCTGTATGCATCATATTCTATTCTGTAAGACAAAAATCATTTATTACTTCTATTGATTACTACTTTTTCAAAATAAACGTATACCTAGCAGTTTCATATTGTCTGACAGTGAGAAGGGTATCCTCAATCGTCTTATTGCAAAGAGTATTAACAGACGAGACAAAGAAGTTTAAGGCCCCTAAGAGTGTCTCTCCGTTCTTGGTCAGGTTTCTCTGTGTTTCAGCATTGTACAGAAATTCTTCTTGAAGTTCAGGCGACTTTTGTGCTAATTCAGAAAAAGCTTCGCCGAGAGCGTGCTGTGTTTGAACTACGTGATGAAAATGAGAGGCGAGAGCCCGAGATAATCTCAACAGGTTGCAGTACTTTTTCTGAGTATCACGCAGTAGTTCTATTTGAGTTTCTAACTCTGAGTCTATGGTGCGCGAAGTTTTGCCAAACGTCTCGTAAACACGCTGCTTTGTGCACTTGTAAGTAGAAATGCTCCAGTTCTTTATTGTTTCAATTTTACTCTGAGCTGAACGCAATCCCTGAGCATCTCCGTTTTGTACTGGTGAACTTGGAGTTGTGGTCACTGAATCATTACAGAAAAATACTTATACCACAGTTTAAACAGATTTGTTCTGTAAATTAAAATACGGATGACTTACGTGTATACTCACATGATGGAGACGAATATGCATTGACAGTCAAATTCATGGTTGCTGGTCTTGTTGCCAACTGACTGTCTTTTGATCTATTATTGTTAGGCACATGTGGGGGTGGTGTGCCAGAATGAACTGCTCCGTCACTTTCGTTCAACGATGGGGCATCTTTTAACATTTCATGAATGCTACGTTCCATCACTGGAGATGTGACACTTGCCTGAGACATAACTTGGTAAATCAACAACCTGAAAACCAAATGTGAAATGTTATTAAATTTTCTATTAATAATGTTTATTTTGACACAAAATTCAATTTACTTCAGTTTGGATGCAATGGACTAAGTTTAGTAGATCAGGTACAAGTACAATGTGAAAGATTATTGAATGGTAATGATGCAATATTGTTTTCATGAATGAGGCGCCCGTATCGCAAAAATTAACGATCCCCCACGATGTCGACCGACGACGACATTGATTTCTCAATCACAACCCAAATAAGGCAACAAACGTGTGTCAACCTTTTTCTCGCATACAATAGAAAGTGACACATCAACATGACACAATAATAACCTGAAATCGGCCCGTAACACTAGTAACATCTACGATTTACGTTTACTAGAAGAAAAAAATTTGCAATATGATTCCCACTAAACACCTTGACCACAAATTAACATATTCGAACATTTCGAACACTCAAAATATCAATCGAATGCACGAATACCTACTCGAACGCGATGAACTTGATGCTCATAGAACACTTTTGACAGTCCTCAACGAGTCGAGAGATGAACCGAAAACTTCAGGTACCTACTTAGGTACTGATCTTACTATAGTAAGTATAAATAATAAGTACTTACTTGCCCTCGCGAATCGTTACAATCTCATAACGTCGTTTGTTATTGATGAATCTCTTTGATTGTTTTCACACGGCGCAGGATAGTTGATATTGACACACGCACGAGCCACTGTTACATATGCAGGTGTGCATATAAGTTCACCAATCACTCTCGAGATATCCTGATGGGCGAGAGAGCTCCTAGGGCGCGGCGAAAAAGGGTAAGAATTTACTAACAATAAGTACTTAGTAATAAGTTAACTGTTTTGTTTGACTTTCGTCGTGCTGTGGTGTGTTTGTGTCGTCTTTAGCATGCACACACATACACAGGTACAGTCTTTTTACATATAAAATGTGAAAACATATAGAGATATTAAATTATGTTCGTTGCCGTCGTTGAGACACCTTTTGAATTTTCGAGGAATCGCGAATGGGTCAGTGAATGTTTGTCATTTCTCGTTTGTAGGTTAAAGTGGAAAGGTACGCACCGACATTTTCAAAAATTCATTTTTCATCATTGATACGGATTTGGCAAAAAGTTAGTGTATGCATGATAATAACGTGTTATTAATTGCGTTTTAACTCTGACGACCAAATTATTAATTACAAACTAAAGAATCGTTGAATTTTATCTTCATAACCTGTGATGGAACTTAATTTTTTTTTTAATGTGATAATTTTGTTTAGGTTATTGAATATTATGGCGATAAATAAGTGGTAATGGATGAAGATTACTTGACAAAGTGCATAAATGGTCTTGTTTTTTTACAAAATTCAATTCTCGTCAAATATTGTGGAAAACAATAGATTTTACCGGTAAAGTAGGCATTGTTAATTATTTTGTTCATAAGTATTTTTATTTATAATGGTCATTTATTTTGTTTGATTTTTATTGCATTTTAAAGGTATATCCGCATTCAATCCTCATGAAAAACGCTGCATCACCTCAAATACGTTAAGATTTTGGATTATTGTCTGTTGGTCAGCCAGATTTTACCATTATTTAAGGCTGTAGAAGTTACGGTTTTGATACTAGAGGTAGGTACATACGTTTTTTAACTTGAATGAAACAACGTTTAGTATAGAAAATGTTTTCGAGGCATTAAAACACGTTTCATATAGTCCTCGAATGCAATTTTTATTATTAAAAACTTAAAGATTGCTACACAGTGAATCCTCACGACAGTGTGTTACTGTAAATGTAAACTTTTGCATAAGAATATTTCCAACAAAACTGATCAACAAATTTAGTTGGTGGTATAGTCAAAAAATATACATTTTTTATACATAAGTACTTATTTTGTTCATGAAAAATTCGTATGGCAGTTTGGATCTCTTTTTGCAAAACATTTTCTATACCGAGCATATCATTTTTTTTATGAATCCACCAGAACTATTACATTGCACAGAGTAAGCGAACTATTTCCGTGTAATTAGCTCGCGGTTTATTACCCTCTTTATTGAGACTGAAGCCAAAGAAATTAGGAGACAAAAAAAAGCCCAAAGAAACAAAGCAAAAACAGCGATCGAGGTAACAGCCGATTCTTTCAAACTCGACAATTAAGAGCGAGGTTTCTTGCCCTTTTGTATCTCTTTGCGAACAAGCAAGCAAGTAAGTACTCGTTGATGTAATTCTATTTGCGGGTCTCACCGAAAACGGTCAACGAGGTCAGTGCAACTTGCTCTTCTCGCGCGTACACGCGTGTATGTATGTAGGCAACAAAAAAAAAAAAAAAAAAAAAAAACGAGCGGACCAAAAAAAGAGGGAGGATTAAACAATAATGCTAATGGAGCAACGAAGGGTACATCCTTGAGCTAGCACCTTTTACCGTCTCCTTTATTTTTTTGATTTTTTAAATTACAACCGTTTCGTAATGGACTTTTGATATACGTAACGATTACGTACGTGTAACCGATAGTATGTATATATACATAAGCGCGTAATCGGCTCTCACGAGACCAAAGTGGTTCTACGTTCTGGGAAACACACGCACGTGTTGTGCATAGCATAGATTCTCCCAGTCGAAGATGTAAGTTTGGTCAATAATCGTAAAACTCTTAAAACTGAAGAAAAACTGTTGAAAAAGTTTTGACCATTGCTATCTATAAAATCGGGTACATCAGCTGGGTCGGCACAACTATATCTGCATAGTCCTTCGAATAAACAAACGGAATTATCATGTACCGAGAAATCGTCGCACACCCAAGCTCTAAATAATGTTTTTACGTGCTGTGCGCGCGCATTTGCTGAAATTCATATTTCACGCACGTGGAAATCTTGATCAGAGGAAAAAAATGAGACCAAAAGCAACCGGTCCGATTTAGCATTCTGGCGATGAACTTGCCGATCTTCGAGAGAACCAGTTTCGATTTTTTCTTCCTCCCCGAGAGATAAGAGAGCCGGTAGCTGCGCACATAAATCCAATCGCTATGCAAACGGTATACACATATACATATGTGTGTGTGAATAACGTAGCGCGCTGGGCATAATTTTCTCTCGCTAGTTTCTTAAATAACTCGGGCGGGTAGGCACATAAAGCGTCGTTACGTGTGCGCTGCGTGTGCTTTTGCGCCGCGAAAATTTTCATAGCCCCCGATAAAGTGTGAATTATACGATCGAGCATAAATGTTTTCAATTTGCGAGTCCCATAGCGAGCGCGATTTTTCGGAACAGGTAAGGTGGGCCTGGATTTGTTGTTGAAACACTTTCGGATTGTATCGGCTGAAAGAAAAAAAAAAATAATAAAAAAATAACCGCTATGACAAGGGAGAAAAACAAGGCTTACGAGTCCGTATCTCTGGGATTTCCAGGGGAAGAACTTTGTTGCGTCGCTCTCGTCTCCTTTTCTGCCCTCACCAATACCGTCGACTCGGCTAACTTTTTTTTCCCCTTCCTTTCTCGGGTTATTTTTCTGTGTGATTCAACTTGTTTTCGTAGCACCATCGGCCAATGCACATACCTCAACAGCCCAAGACCTAATCGCAACATTTATGCATTTCATTGTGATGCAATCACTAAAAAAGTCGAGCCTCGAATTGAATGTACCTCGAAAGGGACAAAATAAAAATATACACCATTAGCCAATGATAAATCTTGATGAATTTTGTTTTGTTTGTTGCATCAATATGATTATCAAGGAAAAACAAAAAGAACGAGACAAAAATCACCGCTGAGCCGACCCACAACGTATCTTGGTTAAAAATCGTTATAAAAACCGATGTTTGTATAATATATTTCCCACGAAAAAAAATACACTCCGATCAGTCACCTCAACTAGCACACACCGCGAAGTCTGTCGATCAGCGTGCGAAGAAAAACACTCGTCCCCACCGTACCGATGATATTATGCAGCCAAACTACTTCCCAGAAACCGTGCCATATCTCTCCCTCTTGGTCCACGTATCGTTTGCAACAAATCTTGGCAAAACCGTCCACTGGGAGTTACCTTCGAACGAGTACACGTATAGCGGACGGAAAAGCGAAAGGTGCTCGGGAAAATCGGCTCCGTATTCTTGGCGCTGAGTTTTCGGAAACGCCACGGCAAAAACGTATTTTTGGCCCTAATTTATGTATAGGTGCGAACACAATGCTCGGCTTTTGGACACATGAAAATACCATACACGTGTTGGCTAATTTGTTTTTTTTTTTACAGTCTAGATGGCAAAAATAAACAAATTCAGTAAAAAAAAAAAAAAAAAAAACAACAACTTGTACTTGTTTTTCCTCTGTTCCACGGCGCTCGGAAAAGGTCCCGGCGGCGCAAACGCGGATTATATCTCGACAGCCGGCGGCTACAAGGAGTCGTTAAAAAAAAAGCGTTTTCCTCGCTGCAACGGATATTGTTGTTGTTTTTCTTCTCAATTAAATCCTCGTGTAAAGTTTGCCGCTCGATGTGCATAGGTACACGATATAGACAAAAGCTCGCGCCGGTGAGCGGCAAATTGTTTGGTTTATTTATAGAAAATGGCCAAGGCTGCCTTGAAAATACACGCGTGTATATACGTATGCTCATCGTTTGCTCGTTCCTTTCCGATCATCGAATTGTTTTGTACGGCCGACTATATCGAGGAATATCACGCGATTCACCACACCTTTGTGACCACGGAGTGGAGGAAGGAAGGAAAAAAAAAAAAAGAAATAACAGGGTAACCCTCGAAAAATAAGAGACGCATACGAAGAAACGTAAACATAGTACGCTCTCCAGGGGTGCATCGAAAGCACATCAAACGTCAATATAATATGGGCAGCGGCGAACCAAGGGGGAGGTGCTCCCGGGGGTCCGCATTATTAAAGTGACAGACAAAAGAGAGAGAAACCCGACACTCACGGCCCTGTGAGAATATTCTCTTTCACCGCGTAGTCGTCACAATTTAATTCTATATACCTTTTCGCGGCTCAAGTACACAGTTTTCTCCATAGGAGCTTACCGATCAACATTTTTTTTTTTTTCGGTGGCGAACGATGTGCATCACGTAATGTGTGAGGGTATCGGACGTGATCCTCATCGCGTTGGATTAAAAAGAAAAGCACTCCGAACGAGTTTAAAATTCACCAGAGCGCACCTTCAACCTCGGCGCGTATTTCAGGAACGTTACATGTGCACGTATAACGCCTGTGTATATCGTATGGCCTCGGGGGGCTGCACTTATCGCTCCGAGACGCAACGAGAGAGGAAAAAAAAAAAAAAAAAAAAAAAGCAGAGCGATTAGAAAACTCATGTGCGCTTGCGAGCAAATATATATTTTACTCTGCGGACTCTCGCGATGACTCAGGCTCTCTTATCGTATAATATACATTGCTGCTGTGGCGCTTCTATTCCGAGAAGATGTTGTCTCTTATTTTTTCTTCGCTCGTGTATACTGTATAATATCAAGCAACCCATGGCATCGATTAACTCGCTGCAGCTAAGCGGTCTTGGGTATAGGCAAAGTAGCCGGAAAAACCTTCCTGGAAACGGGACGCTCTCCTCTTACTCATTTGGCAGGTTGCGCTACCTATATACCTTTTCCTTCTTTTTTTTTTTTTTTTTTCCTCCTCTCATCTCTCGTGTAGAGCCGTCTCCGTCTTTTCTCTACAATATAGTTACCGTTTTGCTAGGAAATGAGATTCGGCGACTCTCTGCCAAGGTCGTCGACGCCCAAGTGGCTATATACTCTCTCGGCGATCCTCGTCTCCTCTTGTTGCTGATGCCTGCGCTGGGAGATACGCCTCTGTGTTCATTATTCTTCTTTCTTTTCCTCTTTTATATTTGACTCCGCCTTGCCCCTTACCCATATTTTTTGGCCAGTGGTCGGTTG